CTAGGACGCTTGGCCTATAGTAGATGATATAGTTAGATCTAATAATAATAATTTAGATAAGATCATAAGAATCTGTATAAAAAAAACACTTACCTGCTGGCAAATGATTAATCAGAGATCTAGTAGACCTAGTCCGCCTAGCCTGCTAGTAAAGTTGCGTTGTAAACACGCGTACTTGTAAGTTGTAACGTTATTATTAGGCCTATACATACGATTGTTAACAACCGGTTCGTGGAGGTGATTAAATTCTAACAACAGGTTCACACGAACCGGTGCGAACCGGCTGAATCCCACAACTGGTCATACGTACATGATATTAAAGATAGGTCATCTGTCACATTTTGTATCATAGACATAGGCCTAAAACTACATGTCTGGAAATCCCTAAATTCGTTGCTGTGTTTGTAATTTTTATTTTGATATTGATTAGTAATTATTTAGTATTGTTTGTACATAATTTGAGGAATAAAACTCCACAGTAGTTTAGATATACAACACTAGGTGCCCAGGGGGTTATGCACACTCATTTTAGGCCTATGCATTGATATCATAAGGGAAGAGGCCAATTTGATCGTTATTCATTATAATATTAGATAATTAAATGCAGATATTATACAGATTAGCTAGAACTATTGAATAGAAAGCCCTGTTTAGCACTATAAGTTTATATATATATATATATATGTTTAAAATTTCATAAAGCTTTATTATAGGCTCAAGACTAGATTGCAGAGGCAGGCCCAATTAGTATTACTACTGGTACAAGTAGTATTAGTCTAGGCCTATGTAAATTTACGGTTTAGTTTTACATTATTTACCGAAAACAGAGGTCCCTTCGTCATTTCAGCTCTTATAAGGCCACTGTTTCCTTTTGTTACCGTCTAAAGCTGTGCATCCTTAGTACACATCGAAACACGACAGCGATACGATGCCATAGTTTTTCGTTTGCGTTATGATCCTCGTTCTTAACTTGTTATGGCGGGCGTGTAATATTGGTATTCTTCAGTTGGATTCACTTGCTCAAAAAATGCACTCATATCTTTCAATCTTGTATGGATAGTAAGTTTGGGAATTACTTGTATATCAATTAAACATTGTTTTATTAATTTATTTGAGTAACTGGACATTGTACTGTTGGACAATCATGACCAGGTACATTGATTCACTGCATTTATTTAATTTTTAATAAAGTATTAAAGTTATTGCGCATTTCACAGATTTTATTGAATACTATTACTAGGCCTTTAGTAAATTGGGATATCAAATGTACAAGTTACTCTTTTAGCACATGAAACAGCATGAAACAGCACATATTTAGACTTCAATTGACAACTGTAATATGTTTCTGTCATTCTCAACCATAAAATTTATTTATTTTTTTATTATAGAAACCTCCATATATCTTGACTTATTGTTGGTAAATATGTGAAAGTACTTATCTTTTAAAATGATACTGTACACCTCTTTGTATGATATATTACACATACATATGATAATGTACACCTCTTTTTATGATATATTACACATAAGTATGATAATATACACCTCTTTGTATGATATATTACACAAAAGTATGATAATGTACACCTTGAGTAAGAATTTAATTGTACCATGTACATTTGATGAAATTACAATTCATAAGAATAACTTGCCTATGTGAGAGACTTGGAATGTTGCTAAAAATGTCAACTTTAGCACCAGAGGTGACATGTTTAACATCTATATATATTTGGTTTCCAATGAAGATTTTATCCAGCCAGTACACATAAAATCTAGGTGACAGGGGGTGAGGAACTACCTCTTATGCATAATTATGTTTTCCCATCTATTTCTAATACACTAATCAAGTAATGTTTGGTATACTTGTATTTACTTTTTTTTAATAAGATAAACACTCAAAATCCATAAACTGATCCTCAAATCCAGAAAGAGCAGTCTGCTTAAAAATCATCACAATTTTCCAGTCTTGTTTCTGAATATGTTCAAATTTATGTCGGTACATGTCGTTTTGTTATGATATTCTATACATGCTTGTTTCAAATCTTCTGTTCCTGACTTACAGACAAACAATTTCACTAATATGTATGTAGGAGTTCAATTAAATAAATAGGAGCTGATAGAATCAAATAAAGCAATGTAATTTCAGCAGTACCTCTTGTTTAAAAGGCTTTAGTTACAGAACAGATGAAAATATTTTGTATAAAATGATGTAATAAGCTTCAATGTCTAAAACAAAATAATTATTTATTCACATTAAAAGTAAGATAAAACCTTGCTTGTCAACTTGCATTATCCTAACAGTTATAACCGAGTAGGATAATTTCTAAACTTTATGTGTTATTACGAGTTTGTTACAACACAATGTGTTCATGCTGTTCAGTATTCAGTTAGGTGTTGTATGTGCTTGTCTAGCATTTAACGAAGATCAGCAATACAAGACTGCTTTGCTGTAGAAATATGAAAGAGTTCTACAGATGAATTAAAAAATAATCTGTGGCTTTGAAAACAACTCTATAACCTGAAGAGAAGATGGAACTTTTATTGTTTTGGGAAGTATATATATTTTTGTGAATAACATTTTTCTTTTTATGTTATGTAACACTAAAGTTGAAGTTTATTTGTATGTAGTTAGTGTTATTGTCACTATAAAATATTAAGACAAAACATTATATCTAAATGTGTATATAATAGTGAGGGTTTACAATGTAACCAAATGTATTTTACATGTAATAATAAAAATATTAAGGTATTTATTAGTTTATGTTCTTATCTGTAACTTGCAGGTTTGAGCAGCTGTAATCTAGAGGCTGAGAAGTATAAAGAATTATTCATGTCAAATTACATTAAATTTGTTGTGTAAATATAAACGTGTTTGATGTAATATGAAAATACATTTTTATTCTAAGTACATTGAATTTATGGTTTGACTTAGATCTGTTTATCTTATCGCAAAATTAAACTGTAATCTAAATGCAGTACTTAATAAATAATGGCTTTAAAAGTTTTCTGATATTGTATTGTGATAAATGATTATTAGCTCTTTTTAAAACCTGAAGAACAAAATAAAACAAACTTTATTCCTGTATTTGCTGTTAGACAGTGCCAAGGATGTTTGGGTAAATCATAAGATGTGGTGAATGTAGAAATTCAACTCAAAATGGCAAATAGAGAGAATATAAAGGACATATTGTTAAAAACTATAAATAAAC